TGGTATGATTACATATGTTGTGATTATCTGATTTAGTAAAATTGCTAATTTAATAATAGTGACAGACAAATTGTTAGTATTTGCAAGTTTAAGATTTCAAAACTCTATAAAGAATAAAGAATATATTAAGGAAGTTGGTTTACGTCATTCAAATAGTTACATTTATTAGAAAAAAAAATAGAGCCAAATATTTAAAAGTTCAGATAATATAAAATGAGTAACGGTAAGATAAATAAATATATTATGTATTATTATTGTACAAATTGACCAAGGCCTCGATTATGTAATGATTTTAATTATTGATATTCTGTAATAACTACTGGATTTGTTTTAATAGCGTTTTGTTCAAATGATATGATATTTAATGAATCCCAAGTTAGTGCTCTACTAAATGCTATATAAGCTTGACCATATGTAAACATTTGATCATCAATAGATATTAAAACGAGAGGTATCGTTAACCCTTGTATTTTGTGCACTGTAAGTGCAAAAGCATTTTGTAGAGGAAATTAATGTCGATTTGCAGGCGCACTATTTAAAATAAAATGTTTTGTTATTTTTTTTACGGTTGCAGTAATAATTGTTTGTAATATCGGGAATACAACTTTTATAGTATTTTCATCTATAATATCAGTAACAACACCAATAGAGCTATTACAAAGCCTATGTTCAAACAAAAGATTGTTAAGATACATAACGTATGCTTCTTGTTGTAAAATTAAGGTTGAAGGTAAATTTGTTTGATTGTGGAAGATATGATTGTTATCATACAGATCATATTCTTGACTATTGATATGATCAATTGCTATCAATACAGTTGGATCAAGTTCTTCAGGTCCTAAAGGTAAGGATGAACAAGATAGCTTGTTTATTTTATCGGCCATGGCGCGAAATCTAACAATATATGTGGTATCAGTTGTAGAATACAAGAAAGAGTTTCTTACTTTTTCTTCAATCATCTGTAGTGTAGTAGATAATAAATTTCTAGTACGAACATCTTCTAATATTCTATAGAAAGTAGAATCATAGCTTTGTCTATGCGAAGTTGTTAAGAATAAGGATAAAAATCAGACCAAACTGAGGAGCGAAATACTTGAGATCTGTTAATTGGAGGTAATTAGCAAGGTCACCAATTAATAAAACTCTGATTCCCTTAAATGTCAATACATTATTATGCAGACAAATGAAAAGGTTACTGATAAATGTTAAAAGACCTGCAGATACTATAGAAATTTCATTGATAATAATAATATTAATTTGTAAAAGTCGTTGACAGTGTTCTTGGTCATACAATACTAAACTTTCAAAATTAGTAGTTGATGGATAGATTTTTAGTTGAGAATAGATAGTTTTTCCATCAATGTTTTGGGTAGCAACTCTAGTTGGAGCTATTATTAGA